TGATGATCATGATCATGATGACGATGACGATGATGACGATGATGACGATGATGACGATGATGATGATGATGAAAATGAAGATGATGATGATGATGATGGTGGTGATGATGATGCTGATGATGATGGTGATGATGATGATGATGACGATGATGATGACGGTGGTGATGCTGCCGCTGCTGTTGCTGCTGTTGCTGCCTCTGCTGATTCTGCTGATGATGATGCTGATGATGATGATGTTGATGATGATGATGATGATGATGATGATGATGATGATGATGATGATGATGATGATGATGATGATGATGATGATGATGATGACGATGACGATGACGATGACGATGACGATGACGGCGGCGGCGGCGACGGCGACGATGGGAGGAGGAGGGAGTCGAGACGAGACGAGCCCGTGGAATCCATCAGACAGCTGGCCTAGCCTCCTCGCTAAGGATTCTAGGGATGGAAAGCGTCGACGCAAACGCGGAAGCTCTGACAGAGAGAGGTGCTGCTCGCTTCCATCGAGCGAGGAAGAGGAGAAGAAGCAAGACAAAAGGCAGGAAGAGGAGAAGGCTAGGGTAAGTGACGAGGGAGGAAACTTCCTCGTCACTTGCCCTGTGCCCCTCCGGAAGGGCACAGTGGAAAGGAGGGGAGGAGGAGGGGAGGGAGAGAGAGAGAGAGATGCCAGAGAGGACGAACAGGCCAGCACGCTGCGCTTAGGGCCGCATCCGACACCGTGTCCTCTCCTTCCATCACATCCCTTCTCGCTGCGTCGGATCTTCTTGAGCCCCCGCGGGAGCGAGGGGCGCCCAAAGCGCCAATAGGCTGGCTGCCTCCGGAGGCCCTCGCGACGGGGCTCACTGCGGGGACGCGGTGGCGGCCTCCGCCGCGGCGGCCGGGCCGCCGCCTCGGTTGCACTCCTCGGCGGCGGCGGGCGAGGGGGGGAACTTCGAGGCTCGAACCTCGAGGTTCGAGGTTCGAACTTCGAGGTTCGAACTTCGAGGTTCGAGGTTCGAACTTCGAGGTTCGAACTTCGAGGTTTTCGGGCGTTTTCGTAGCTTCTTGGTGGTCTTCCGCCCTCGGGATGCGTTCCAGCGGCTACGCCTCGCCGAGAGCGTTCTGGGGATGCCCGGATCCTCCCGAACGGCCGCCGGAGACCCGAGTTATGATCCGAAAACTGAACTCGGCGGCACGCCCGGGAAAGTGAGACTGAGAAGGCCTTCTGAGAGGGCGGCGGGGCTTCTCACAACCCCTCGGGCCTTCTGAAAGGCTTTCTGTGTCTTCGGGGAAGGCCGAGTAAACTTCTCGGAAGGGCAGGGGGAGCAGAAGCAAAGTCGGTGGCACGCAGAGGAAATGTCTGGAAGTTCTCGTCGGATCCTGGAACCGATCTCGCCTCGGGGCGCTCTCCAGCAACCGCGCCTCGCCGGGAGCGTTCGGGGGATGCCTGAATCGTCCAGAACGGCCGCTGAAGGCCCGAGTTGTGGCCCGAGAAACACTTTCCTCCCAGATCTCCGAAGTCTGGAGAAACTCAAGGCAGAAGTGTTTCGCCGTTTCCGGCCCTCTGCGGCAAGGGGCACTCGCAGGGTCCTGTGAGCGTCAAGAAACGACTACGACTCAGGACGAAGAGCCTGCCCTGGGGAAAACGGACAAGACCTCCAGGGACCCCGCATTGAGAAACTCAAGACATCGGACGTCTGGGGAGGGGGGCACACCAGCGTTTTACTGTTGTTGAAGAAACACGCTCATTTCGGGCGAAACTGGAGAAGTAGCAAGCTAACGGGCCCCCCAGAGGTGAGTGATACTCTTTTTCCACCCCGATCTGTCGGACCAGACGAGGGGGTTGTTAGCAAAGGAGGGATTAGCGACTCAGCTCACGTGGCTGATTTCTCTGGCGCCTACAAGCGCTGGGAGGCACCGGTGCATCGAGGAATCGTACCCAGCGGCGGGACCGAAACCAGCTGCATGCAGCAGATTTCGTCCCCCCCACTTTCCCCATCCCCCCCTTCATCCGACCAACTCTGGAGGATCACCGAAGCATCACTGAAGCGGCGCGCTCTGGGCCTCTTAGAGGGCGCGCCCCGACACCTTCGAGCTGCGATTGAAAAACACCGCGGTAGGTTCCAGGTCGTTTTCGGCTCTACGGGCCCCCGGGGGCAGTCGAATGGGATGAAGGAATAGTCCCCGGGGAGGGGTCCAGACCTCACGGGGAGCCGCGCTGGGGAAAAGCGCGACACCGGACGTCTGGGTGGGTGGGGGCACCTGGCGGAACAAACAGCCACACAGACATACCGATGGCATCAAGGCAAGAGCGGAAGTCGATGGTGAGGGTGAATCTCGAAATCGATGAGGGCCAAAAACAAAATCGCGAGCACCATCTAAAATGAGGCTTCGCACAGGGCAGCGACGAAATCAACGAAGGTTTTCAATCTTGATGTCAGACCTGGCCCAAGCCGGCCCACTCCATTGATTAAAGCCTCCCGGTACGCTTTTGGAGGTCCGCGCGGAGCTCTGAGATCGGCGCTGGGCCCCCTCCCCAGCGCGCGGAGCACACCCAGGCCGGCGCAGCAGGTACCGCCAGGGGGCCTCAGCGCCGCCGATCCGAGAGATCCGCGCGGACCTGCGACAGTTTACTGAAGGGGCACCAGGACACACAAATAAATACACAAGTAAAAATATTCCTCATCTTTTTCCCATATTTTCTGGGTTTCTGTCTTCCCCCTCATTTGCCATAATTATTTCCCCATATTTTCTGAAGAATCGAGGATTAATTGTGTCTGTGTGTTTTTTCCTCTCCTGATTTACGCTCGTGCCACGGCTTGTTCCCCGAGTGCGCCCCCGACCGGGGCTGACCTCGCCGCGTCGGCGGGGGCATCCGTGCCCCCGACCCAGACGTGCGACGTCCCGACTTTTTCAATGCGGCGCCCCCAGAAGCCCCGGCCCTTTCCCAAAGACTGGCTTCTCATCCCAAGTCTGCAGCTGCTCCCATCGTACTTATGGACCAAGTCCCAGAAATACTCCAGTTTCGTTGCTTTCTTGGTGCTCGAAATTCTTTCAGGTGGCCAAAGCTAGAGTAGGCAAGATTAGGTCGGGCGTGTCCTCCTACAGAAGGACTCTGGACGAAAAATAAAAGAATAGTCAACAACATCAAAACGGTCGATCGCAGTCGAAAAATCGTTCCACCCAGAAGATGTCTGGATCATTCTTGCATGCTCCTCCTGTAGAGGAACAGGCCCGACTTCAAGGTAGGAGCATCATAACCCGAACCGTTTTCTGCCGGTCCCTGGGCCCGGCAAGGGGGGCCAACAAAAACAGCGCAAACAGCCTCGGCCACCCTGACCTTTTCGCAGCGGCGCGCTCATGCCTGGGGTTGCATGCCTGGGCAGGGCTGGACCTGAACGCTGATCTTCGCTCCGTCGTCGTTGTGTTCTCCGCTCTGCTCTCATTACCTGCCAAAACCAAAAAACACCGTCGTGTTCTTCGTTGTGTACCTCTCCTTGCCGAAACCAAACAAACAAAAACAAAAAAACGCCGCCGAAGTCCAGCAGCGCAGCGCTCAGGTCCAGCCCTGCGCCCGACCCGCCCAGGCCTCGGGGAGCAAAAAAAACCCGCCGACGTCCGGCTGCGCTCACTTTTCGGAAGGGGCACAGGGACACACAAATAAATACACACACAAATAACAGGACTCCAAATATTTTCCCCTATGTTCTGGGCTGTTGTCTTCCCCCCTCATTTCCCATCTTTTCCATATTTTCTCGGGGGAATCGACGATTCGTTGTGTCCGTGTGTTTTTTCTCCCCTCCTGATCTTCTTCGGGGAGTGGGCACCCCGGAGCTCCGGACCACGCCCCCATGGGCCGGCTCTTCGCCTCGAGCCGCCTCTGTGGACGCCTCGCTCGCGACGTCGGCTGTCGTGGGCCTGCCCCGCTCGCACTTCTCTGTCTGACGACGTTTTTTGCTTGGGCGCTCCCCCCAAGCCCCGGCGAGGGCCCCGCTGGAGGCCGCAGACGGCCCAAAAGCCGTCCGCTCCCATTGCCATGTTGGAGCGTCGGATCTCTGGGGGTATACCATCCGCCCGAGCTTCGGGGACCAGAACCCCCCCCGTCCTGATCTGCAGGAGGGCTCAGAAACGAATCGACAGGTCGGACCGGCGATCGAAATGAATCGGATCGGCAGAAATCGGCAGCCGAGTCGGGAAAAATCGAGTCGGCGGAAATCGGCAGCCTGGTAGGTTTTTATCAAACATCGGAGCCAAAACCGGAATCCGAAATCGAATCGAATCGGAATCGGAAATCCTCGAAACCGAATCGAAGCGGAGGAATCGAAATGAGCACTGCCTGATCTGTGACGACGCGGGCACGTCGCGGGGGGGGGCTGCGGAGGGCGCCCTGCCCCCCCGCGCGCGGGGCCTGCCCGCGGCCAGAGGTCGCATCGGAGTGGTCGGCGGGGGCGGCTGCCCGCGGCTTGCCATCGCTCGGACGTCCACTCCCCGTGCACTTCTTCGGTTTCGCGCGTGTCTACTTCTCGCGAGGTGATCCAGAATGCTCCTCGATGGTGTCCGCCGAGGGAATAAACACACGTCCGAGCGATGCCAAGTCGGGCGCGCATCCGGAAGCGAGTACCTGCGTGTGCGTGTGGGTGAGAATGCCCAGACATGCCTCCTCGTTAAAAAAATCAGGGCGCGAGGTTGTTTCGCTACTTTCGGCACCTGGGGGCCCTCGCGGGGCCCAGGGACCGTCGAAAAACTGCTCGGGATGAAAAACCAGTCCCGGTGGAAGGGTCGGGGCCTCCGGGGGCGCCGTGCTGAAAGAATCAGGACGCCGCATGTCTGGGTATATGGGGTCCACGCCCAGCCCCAACCACTCCCACCGCCCACGACCCCCTCGCCCCCACGCTCAACACGCTCACTCACTCCCAGACATGCGGCGCCCTGATTTTTTTCGGTACGGCGTCCCGGAAGTTCCGACCATGTCCCCGGGGCCGTTTTTGTTTGTTTGTTTGTTTGTTTGTTTGTTTCGCAACACCTGCAAGACTGTCCAGCAAGCACACGCGCGTGTGCGAGTAGCACACCTAATGGCCAGCTTCAGAATCTCCGAACCTGAACCATCAGCAATCCAGCTTGTCAGCCTAACACGCCCAAAACTGCTGACACGCTGAAGAATATCCGCTGCCGAGAATCATAAGAAAAACCAGGGAGCATGTGAGAGAGGAGGCCGCATGAAGAATTAGGAGCGAAGGGCATCTGAATATAAAATGCTGGGATGTCCGCAAGCGGATCCAACCAGCAAGACAGTCCAGCAAACTGCCACGCCTGGGCGCGAGGAGCATACAGAGCGGCCCGCTGGAAAATCTCCGCAACTGAACAGCCAGCAACCCAAGATGTCAGCATGAGTCCAGGCGGGAGTAGCAAGCCGCAAACCTGTTGACACGCTGAAGAATCTACGCTGCCGGGAATCATTCGAAGAGGCGAGGAGTATATGAGAGAGGAGCATGCAAACCTGCTGGCATGCTAAAAGAGTCTCCGCTACCGAGAATCAGTGGAAAGGGGCTCGCCATGGTCGGGCAGCTGAAGCTCGACGACCGCCTCGCGAGACGGCAAATGACTTTCATGGGGGCAATTTGCGCGCCGACCTGGCCTAGATCGAGCCGGGCACCCTGGAGCTGCGTCTGGCCTTCAAAGGCTGTCCCCGGGGCCGGTCTTTCGTCCCGAGTTCTTTCTTGACGCTCCGGAGGCCCGGCGAGGGCCCCGCGAGGCCGAACACAGCGAAAACCCCCCGCCTGGATTTTTTGTTATACGACGCGTTCATGTCTGGGTCCCTCACTCGTCGTCCTCCACCTCGCTCCAGACCCACGCGCACGCCCGTCTCGCCTAATTATGCACCTCGCTCTGGCCCCCCACTGGGCCCGGGGGGCCTCCGGGAGCGCACCCCGCAAGGGGAGGACCAAGCAGACAGACGGGCGTTCGCACAATTCACCGCGCGGACGTCCACGCGCATGTCGCGTGGGCGATCGGGCCGCGAGACAGCGAATCCGCACGTTCCTGGGCGGGATGGGCCATCCAAGACCCTGGCTGCTGCTGATGCTGATTCTGGTGCTGCTGCTATTGCTGAAGTTGCTGCTGCTGGTGTTGCTGCTGATGGTGGTGTTCGTGCTGCTGCTGCTGCTGCTGCTGGTGGTAGTGGTGGTGCTGCTGCTGCTGCTGCTGCTGCTGATGCTCCTGGTGGTGGTGGTGGTGCTGCTGCTGCTGCTGCTGATGCTACTGGTGGTGGTGGTGGTCTGTTGGTGCTGCTGCTAGTCCAGCTGCTGCTGGTGTTGCTGCTGGTGCCGCTGCTGATAGTGGTGGTGCTGCTGGCGCTGCTGCTGCTGCTGCTGCTGCTGCCGCTGCTCCCTCGGGCCCCTCTGAGCGCCCTCTTGAGGCTTGTTTGGAAGGTATTGGTATCCTCGTGGCGCTTTGGGAGGCCTCTCGGAGGGCCTTTGGGTGGCCTCTCGGGGCCCTTTCGGGGGCTCTGGAGGGCCTTCTGGGGCCATCTTGGAAAGCATCGATCATCAAAGGAGGGGGGTCTCCGATGTCGGCCCCCCCCCATCAGGAGCCCTCAAAATCGCCTCTTGGAGTTCTCTTGGGGCTCTCTTGGGTGGTCTTGGGGTCTTCTTGGGGCTCTCTTGGCTGAGCATGCGGAGGAAGAGGAGAAAGAGGGAGGCGAGGAAAGACGAGATAAAGTACCATCCCCATAGCAAAGCAAGGCGCTGGGGCACACGAGCGGGGGGCATCCTGATGTTCTCCAGGGGCCGTCATGGCCATCACTTGTTTGGCAGACGGGAAAACATGGAGCGAAGTTTCCTCGCGACTCGCGTGTAGCGAAACTTCAAACTCAAGTCAAAGTGAGGCGGGGCCCAGAGCCTGCAGTGAGCCTGCAGAAGGTTGGTCTCCTTACTGCGTTCCGAGCGGTGCCAGAGCACACGAAGGGCTGCGGGGACGTCGGGAGGAGGGAGGTAAGCAGGATGTAGGGTTGTTCGTGTGAAAGAGCGAGAGAGAGACAGAGAGAGAGCGGCACGCAACTTTGATCGCTGAGCTGGCGCAAAGCGATTGCGCACGTCAGGCGGGGAGGCATCTCAGAAAAGCATGCGGTACTCGGCAAGCTTTGTGTCCTCTGGTCCCACGCTGCTGCCACATGCGTACTCGTTCATTTGCGCAGCAAGTCTTGCTCGTCCTCCACGGGCACTGGCTGGTTGGACGCGCGGCTGCGGGAGACGCGGACGAGCGCACCCATAGCGACGAGAGCGGACATCAATCCGAGCGGCACTGACACCGCAACTGACGTCTTGTCGAGCCTCGAGGTCGGTTCCGCCTCCGGAGGGGCATCGTACAAGCGAAGCTTCGTTGGGCAAATGTCCGCGTTGGCGACGCCATCGCAGTCGGGGCACTCGGCAACGAGAATGTCCTTCGGAGATTTCGCGGGCGCCGCCGCGTTGTTGTTGGAGCCGGAGTCCGCCTTGCTCTCCTCGCAATAATGCACGAACCTCTCAAGGCAGGTCATGCCCTGGTAAAGGGGTGGGGTGTATGAGGCCGAGATGCAGACGTTGTGGCGCTCCTAGCTTGTCGGGTTACGGTTGGGCGTCCCTTCTGGCACGTAGTAGTATTCGTTAGCTGAGTCCCAGTCGCCCACGGAGCAACCGAATGGTGCCTGACCGAGTTGCGTATCTGAAAACGTGCCCCCCACCAGCGTGGCATGCTTCTTGCACTGGGCCACCGACTGTACATTTTGCTACTCGCCGACTGTCTCGAGGTCCTTGCACTCCGGATTATCTCCAGTTCCTGCGTCTGGCGTGACCTCCTTGTAGTCCGATATCTCCTGCGCGCCCACGGTAGTCAACAGGCCAGCGAGCGAAAGAGCCCTCGCCATGAAGGCCATGGTTGCGTGAGGGGAACGGCGCGAAGAGGTAAAGCGGGAGATGTAAAATAAAGCCTGCCTCGAACAAGCCCAAGCCACGAATAAGACTATTAAATGGCTACGGGCTACGCTTGGCTTGACTCGAACTGGCTTGAATCAAACTGGCTAAATACGGAGGGCCATCATGACCATCATGAGGAGCGAACGAACGACGACGAACAGACATGGCTCCAGGCTCTGGAACACAGGTGTGCGAAATCCGCCGACTCCTTGTGGGTCCCTGTGGGGCCCCAAACCAGGAATGACGGGAAGCGTCTTCGAGGTACGAGAAGAGAGCTGGACGTTCTGGCTGAATCTGCATCATATCTTAACAATATCTTACTACATGGGATGCGGGACTGCAACAATTTTTTCGTTGGCGGATGACGGGAAGCGCGCTAAGACTCTTTCTAGTCGCGCGATGGACGTTGCTGCAGGCCCGGAGAAAAATATTTTCAACTGGGGGGAGTCTGAGGGGGGAAGGGCTCGGGGTTGCTCCGTGATTAAGGCTTGGCGGATGACGGGAAGCGCGCTAAGACTCCTTAGAGTCTCGCGATGGACGATGGTTATCGGCACGGAGGGGGAAAACATTTATCAAGTGGGGGGGCCCAAGGGGGGAGTGGTGGCGGGATCGCGCCTCCGCTGACACCTGGCGGATGACGGGAAGCGCGCTAAGACTCTTTAGAGTCGCGCGATGGACGTGGCTTCTCGGCCCGGAGGGGAAAACATTTATCAAGTGGGGGGGTCCAGGGGGGGAGTGGTGGCGGGGTCGCGCCGTGATTGAGACCTGGCGGATGACGGCAAGCGCGCTAAGACTCTTTAGAGTCGCGCGATGGACGTTGGTTATCGGCCCGGAGGGAAAAATACTTACCAAGTGGGGGGTCCAGGGTTATATGCCCGAAAGCACGCTACGTCTGCAAAACCAAGAAATGATGATAGTACTCCAATACTCCCAGAATGCACTTTTCACATTTATGTTAAAATACTCCAGAAAAAACTTTGGGAATTTTCCAAAATCCTTTTGCAAAAATAAATGTTATGATCGATGCCCCAGGGCCGCATGTATTCATGACAGCGGTACACGGCATAGCACGGCCTAGCATAGAACAGCACAGCATGATAACGTGACCGCGCCAACACCACATAACACAACAGCTTACCCCACTGTCTCTATCAGAAACATAGCATAGCACACGTACAATATTGTGACGTATGATATCCTCTGGTTGTTTTAATGAAATAGCATATGTTTGCGGCAATAAGAACAACATATTTGACCCTCAGAAAGAAAAACAACTAAACATTGTGCGCGTACTCTAAGATTGTTGCATCATCTAGGCGATCTTAACTTTAAAATGGGAGGCGGGCGGCGGGCGAAACCGTGAATCGATTCGTTCGCGTTTCCTTATACCCCTGGCGGCCCCTGGTCCTTGTCGTACTCCTACTCACGCCTTCCCATGGCTGGCCGGTCATAGTCATATTCCTACTCCGTCCTACGTCTACCCCAAGCGCACCCTTTTTTCCTGGCCCGACTCTGATGTATTCATGCCGAATGTTACCTTTAGATCCATGTCTAACGGGGCCGCGCGCGGCGGGGGGGGGGCGCAAGCCCTGCTCCTAGCCAGTAGCCCTACATATATAAGATAACTCGGCAGGTGCCTCGCTACTCCGAGGGGCCGCGCGCGGCGGCGACGGCGAGAGCCCTACTCCCTAACTCCAACGGAGCCGCGCGCGGCGGAGGAACGGGGCGACGGCCCGCAGCACCGCGGATCACGGCGGTTGTGGCGAAAACCATCACCAAGACATGAGCCGCCGATTGCTCCGGACTTGCCCAGGTTCAGACTCGTTCGCGTTTGTTTTGCCCACGGTCCGACTCACTGGCACCCAGACCCACTCGCGCTAGAACCCACTTACACTCTGACCCACCCACACTCCGACCCAACCAGATCCAGGCACCTCACCACCACACCGCTCACACTCAGACTCGCGCGCTGGATTCACACTCAGACACCCCCCAAGAGGAAACCGCCAGGGAGGGGGGTCACTCGCCCGTTCGAGGCCAAGTGGCGGTGATGTATCGAGCGAGGCGCCCATTTGATTTAAGTGACCACCTCTGCATTGAAAGCGTGCCGTTGGGAAGCACGAGTGCGAAAATGGCGGTCACCAGGGAGTGACTGCGTAGAGGTATAAACCCGCCAGCCCATTGGGCGACAGGCAGTTTAACCATGTTCCTCGTTCATATTCCACAGCCCCTTCTTCCCCTTCGGTGAAGGGTTTACCCCGCCCCCTACCCCCTCCCCTGGACCTGGACGGGGGTGCCCGCGAGAGGTTGGAGCGCCCAAGATGGTCCAAGATGGCTCTAAGAGTCGCGCGATGGACGTTGCTGCGGGCCCGAAGGACATATTTCAACTGGGGGGAAATCTGAGGGGGGAAGGGCTCGGGGTTGCTACGTGATTAAGGCCTGGCGGATGACGGGAAGCGCGGTACGACTCTTTAGAGTCGCGCGATGGACGTTGGATATCCGCCCGGTAGGGAAAATATTTATCAAGTGGGGGGGTCCAGGGGGGGAGTGGCGGCGGGATCGCGCCTCCGCTGAGACCTGGCGGATGACGGGAAGCGCGCTTAGACTCTTTAGTCGCGCGATTGACGTGGCTTCTCGGCCCGGAGGGGGGGATATTTATCTTTTGGGCTCTTGTTTCTGCCAGCTACTGCAAGAGACTGAGCACGGGCGGAATCCAGCCGTCGAGACCGCCGAGCGAGGCACAGGCAAGCTCAAGTCCTGGGGTGAGAGCTCACCCCCAGAACATAACACCAAACATGCTCCCGAGTTTGCAGAGCAAGCTGGCATCGCCGAAGAAAAGAGACTTACAAACCACACGATCGCTGTATGACCTCTGCGGAAGCTCTGACCTCGGCATTGTGAAAGAGACGAGCAAGGGCGACGCAAATTTTTCGAGGGTACTCTGCCCCTCTCTTGGTCTTGAAACCTCCTGAGGGCAGAAACCCATGCAGCTGTTCGTGAGACCGCCCCGTACGAGAGCAAATGCCACGCCTGGATCCTACGCATCGCGATTGACAGAAAGGCCCCGGGTCAAGGTCCCCGAGGAGAAGGCCAGTGTCTTTTTTCCAAGCCGCACCCCACTGGCACATAGAGGTGATGTGGAAAGAGACGGCCCGGCGACGCACTAGGGCTTTGTAGCGCGGGAGGAGCCACAGCCGAGAGGTCTTAGGGTTCTCGATACTCCATGGCACACGTAGAGAAAGAGACACGCCAGCGAGATTGGCAACAAACCTATTCAGGATGTTGGATACATCTACAATCGCCTGCAAATGAGGAGGGAGGTTCGGGAGGCCAAAGAGGTGGAGATCGGATCGTACTGGCGGCGCCCCGACCCCATGATCGCGGCACCTGGTCAGCGTATTGCAAGGTACCCCTGCATGCCAACCCCTGACTCTCGACCAGCACGGATCCAAGACAAGAGCATCGAGTGATTACATGGTCGGGCGAGGTCGTATCTCTCGCCTAAAGTAGTGTCCCACATCAAAACAGGCATGCCTAGCTGAGCGACCGCCTTCGAAAATCCAGCTGAGCCAGAGAACAACTCTAAAATCACTGGCGGGTCGGGCAGACCGGCACCAATGCTGAGGGCCGGCCGTGCGACGCACGGCTCAGCAAGCGAGCGCAGCCCTCCGCGTGCTCTCGCTGCAGCCCTCCTAATTGGTGCGGCTGCTCGGTCAGGCGGCCTCCTTTTCCGTACCAGCGGACTGAGCCCCAGCTCCTCCAGCACCCACGCCGCCTGATCTGCTCCAGGTCGCGCAGCCCCGCTGCGTGGTCGTGGCTTGGGCCTGAGCGGCGGAGCTGGAGGCCGTGGCAGGCACCCAGCTTGCGGAGGCCGAGGGCGGCGACCGCCCCACGCTCTGCGGTGGCCACACTGCACTGGTCGACTGCATGGAGCACGCCGTAGACCACCTTGGCGACGACCTCGTACGGAAAGGCCCTGCGGCTGCGAGCCGGGGCCAGAAGGCGCCACACCTTGGCGGATTGCTTGGACAACGGCAGCTCGGACTGGCCCGACCTGGCATAGCGCGGATCGCGCCATGCCAGCGCTGCTATCACAAGGTCGGCGCAGGTCTGGTGATCCCCCCGCTCGACGAGCTGGCTGACGTAGTCGCAGACGGCTCGGTCCATCTGGGCAAGCTCCTGCATGGCCCGCAGGTGCTGTCTCGTCCAGTCGCCCAAACCCACCAGCATCGAGAGGTAAGCATGACGCTCCGTCGCCCAGCGCACGGACGCCGCACTGAGCTCTGGCATGCCCGCTGGCGGCTGGACCAGCCGAGCCCGCTGCCGCGGCGTGGGGCCACCGCTCGAGCCCTGGCGGCTCGCGGGCGAGCCCTGGAGCACTGGCAGCGTCGCCGTCTGCGGGCCAGCCCTGCGAGCCCCACGGACCAGGGTGGCTCCCGCCGGCGGCAAGCTCGTAGCCGCGGCTGGCCGCTCGCGAGCCTCGCCCTGCACCAGCCCCGCAGACATGGCCGGAAGAGTGCTGGCGAGGGCGACGAGGAAGAGAGCCGACAACATATGGAAGAATACGTAGAGGTCTTGGGCCAGTCAGCGGCTCAGAGCGAAGCGGACCATGAGCTCCCCAGACGCCCTCCAGCGAGGCCACTCCGAGGCCCTCATCATACCCGCGCTCCTCCTCCTCAACCACCTTCTCGCCCACCTACTCGTGCATGTGCTGGTGCTGGCCCCGCTCTTGAGAACCGTGTAGTGCTGGTCCGTGCTGATCTTGATCGGGGTCCCCATGGGGCTCTCCTTCTTCCTCCCCTAGGTCACGAAGTAGCCTACCTTGATTGGGCCCCTGGGGAGGGTCATCCTCTTCAGGGTCCAGGCCGACCTTGTACTTCGGGGTCGTGCAGAGGCCCTCCTTTAGAATGACAGCAGCAGGGAAACTGGGTTCACCTCGGCCTCTAGAGGGGCCATCCGCGACGTCATACTCAGACGGTATCCACCGAATACAAAAATAGCTCCCAGACGCCAGAGACAAAGCCCCAATACGGCGCATGATCCCCAACATGGCGTGGCTGTGGGCCCGCATCCGAGAGGCCGCCGAGACAGACGCGAGAGAATCTCCCAGGACAAGCACCCTCTTCCCATGGTTCCGAACGGCCCGTAATGCATGCCGAACATGGTACAGGACCGCCCGAGCTTCGAGAACAGGCATCCCTTCAAGACGATCCCACTTACGACGTCCCGTGACACGCCACAACGACTTGTCCAGATATTTATTCGAGACCTCGGGAAAGGCGAGCAGGTCGCGCTCCACAGGCGGGCCGACGGGCTGACTGTCCTCCGCTGGACAGCCAGGATCGAGCTGGGCCGCTACGATCCCCAGGTCACAGGCTGCGACCCCGCCGGCGGCACATTCAGCGGCAAGGGCCCGGCGACGAGGAGGCAAGCGCTCAGCCCTGCCATAGCGCCACCGCTCGCTATGACGACCAACCTCCCGAACAGCGCCGACGTCCCAATCAGCCTCGCAGGCGCCCAACCCCCAAGGGGGGGCGTCTACGCAGCCGACGGAACACGACCACTGGGCACGGAGATCACGCCACAGCAAAGGAGCGACGCCATCCCAGGCCATGAGCTCCTGCCTGACCTGAGACCAGAGCGGCACCTGGTGGTGGTAGCACTTCTGGACAAAGCGGAAACTCGCCTCGAATATGCTTAAGCCCTCACAACGAACGAGAGTGACGAAGATGATGTGGCCCAGTACGCGCTCGAGGTCACGACCACTGGCACGACCACGGCGCAGAAGACCACGCACGGCTAACCGCACCCTCAACCTCGAAGCCGACACCGAGAGACGCCCTGCCGCAGTGATGGACCAACCCAGCACCGCATACTCGCCCTCGCTGTCACCGAGGTTCTCCTCCCTGGTCACCACCAAGCCCCGTCGCTTGAGCTCCGTCATGACACGAGTCACGGCGGACCGAACCGCCTCCGCGTCGTAGCCGATGCTCACGAAGTTGTCGACGTACTCTAGGTGACACGATGGGACGTGCGAGGGAGCGGGCCTGCCATCTCGAAGTCGTGCGTCATCGCCACAGCCTGCTGCCTCTGCCACTCGCTCCATCACCGACTGACACCACCACGTTGCCCACGACCAACACATGGGCACGACCCTGGGGCGCGGGTAGAGCTTGGTGGAGGCTCCGACAGCGACCCCGCCGACCTCCTTGATGCCCGGGACGCCCGCGCGCACAGGTCGCAGGCTGAAACACGGACGGAGCTGCTCGGGGAGCTCCAGGTGGTAGAAGGCGTCCTTCAGGTCGGCGCCCTCCACCGTCAGGGGCGAGTCGTCCGCCGCCATCTCGAGCATGCCAAAGGCGTCGCCCGTCGCGAGCCGCGCGCCCAAGGGCTCGGTGAACACCTCGTTGGAGCGCCGGCAGTCCGCCACCATGCGAAGGCGGCCCCCCTTTTTCTTCACAAAGAAAATCTCGGCTCGAACGCCGTCCTCAAGGCTGAAGTCGACTAGGTGCCGCTCGTGCAGTAACTGAACATAACTGGACCAGCGCCGCTGATCACGGAGAAGAGGGTCAGAGTAGGGAACAGGTATAGAGCTCTGCCTCAGCCTGGCTTCGGCCTCGCTCGGATCCATCAAGCTCTGCAGAACGAACTGTTCGACCTTGGCTTGCCCGCCCTCCCCCCGCGCGTCGGCCAGCGGCACAGGGGCGGTACTGACGTCCGGCAAGGAGAGGAGCGCGGGGTCGCAACTCCCGACGGGGCGACTGCTCGACGTTGTAGGCACCCCCGGCCACGCGAAGCTGCGCCAGCGCTTCTGCGGGAGAAAGAGTCGACGGCGGCGGACCAAGGTTGCGCACCGACTCGGATATGTGGGCTAGACACTGGCTCTGGGCGAGTGACGGCCCCACGTATCGTGCAGAACGGTCACGACCACAACGGAGGGACGGGTCATGAAGCCAATTAAGAGCGTCCACGCATGCATAGACATCGTTGCAGACACCAAGCCTTCGCCCAATCCCTTGCCTCGTACCTCGGGCGAGCTCCTTGATCGAAGCCTCATCCAGCGGCTCTTTGAACGAGGGATAGGGCAGCGGCAAGATGTCCCGGGGCCGACGCCTGCCGATGACGTGGACATCCTGAGGGAAGAAAGGCCCGCACGGGTCGCCGTCGTGGAGGGGTGTAGCACTCGTGCTGGCCCCCCCTCCGAGGCCAGCACGGCTCCGATGCTCAGTCATTTTGGCGCCTGGACCCCCGCTCCTCGCGGGCCAGGCGCAAACTTGTGTGTAGCTTCGCCTCCTTCTCAAAGTCACTGCGGAACAGCTCGATCAACCCTGGGGATACCATCACCGACGGTGTTGAACGTGAGAACCCCCAGACCGCGCCCTGCCCCTCCAGACTCATATTGCCACCGACCCCTTTGCTCTCGTCGTCTACGGCCTTGTCCCAGTGGGCAAACTCGAAGGTCTGAAACCTCCCAAACTTCATCTCAATGCTGATGAGGTTAGCCCCGTCTAGGACGTCCTGACTGGTGGCCGCTTTGATATGCTGACACAGCTCGTAACGCACTTGAACTCCCCAACCCGTGGCGGCGAGCCTACAGACCTGCACCGCGTGCTCGTGATGGCCCTCTATGCAGAGGCCCTCCTGTTGCAGGTAGCTCATGCACCGCGCCGCCGTCCTCGGGCCCGCCAGCGTCCCGCCCGAGCCGAGATCCTCCTGGCGGGTCATCTCCTCAGTCTTGTGCCACGGGGCGCCGCGTCGACCTGGCCCATCTCGAACTATGGGCAAGATCCCGGCATCCGCATCAACAGCTTTACGCAAGAAGGTCTCGGGAGCGGCCGGGGGCCCCAGCTCCAAGAGCCAGCCCTGGCCGTCTGGCAGCACATGCATTATCCGACCCAGGACTCGAGCTGCAAGGGCTTCGCGCCCAGGCACCACATCGCCAATCTGATATCCACCCTCGCAAGCGGCCGCCCCTCGCACCCCGGCGGGATCACCTCCAGGCGCACCCGCGGGGAGCACGGCAGCTCCGCACCGCGAGCCCAGCGCAGGGCCCGGGGGCGCGCGGCGGGCAGCCACTCCTCCTCCTCCTGGCGCGACCAACGGCCGCAGGTTGGTGGGCAGGCCGAGGTTGCCGATGGCCGCAGTCCCGGTGCAGCACTCCCCTGTGGCGATCTGCTCCGCCTCCATGGTGCACAGGGCCAGCTCCGCATCCGTCGGCTCGGCTCTGGACACGTGAACCTGGATGCCCGCGATCCCTGGAGGCGACGGGTCGGAGGCACCAAAACGTGCCGCCTGCGCGTCAGCATTGTTGGCCAGCGCGACGTTGTCTGGATCGCCGTCGGCCGTGTAGATGACGCGGTCAGCCTCGGACGATGCCACCCCCTGCAGATTCAAGTGCTGGTGCCACACCACTTCGTCGGCGTAGAAGGCGTACACCGAGCGACTCGTTGCCACCATCGCCATCACTGATACAGCCTGCAGGATGCCGAGTACGCGGACGAGCATCCCTCCGCAGCACGACACATCAGAAGCCGACGCACGCTGCGGCGAGCAGGAAGCCCACCGCGCCGCCCACCAGGCCCGCGGCCAGGGCGCGCAGGTCGATGGCGACGTCGCTCACCAGCACGGCCGCCGCCGAAGGCGCCGCCACCTCCGGCCCCGCGGGCGTGGGCGCGGCCTCTGGCGCGGGGCAGGCCCCACACGCCGGGCGCGCCGGCGTCGGGCAGGGCGGCGGCGAGGGGCACACCGCCGGGGCGACCTCCGCGCACGGCGGGATCGCTGGGCACTGCAGCGAGCACCCAGGGCACGGAGATGGCGACCCGCACGCCAACGAGCACACGGGACAGGCGGGACAAGATGGCACCTGCGGGCACCTGGTGAGATAGGAGACCACCCCTGTGACGGCGTGGTTTGTGAGCCTCTCCCACATCCCTCAAGACTTGAGCAACCAGAACGGCGGCGGCCCACAAGATACATCGGAAACCCGTGAGATCACGACGACCAAGTGGGGGTCCAAGGGGGGAAGGGTGGCGGGGTCGCGCCGTGATTGAGACCTGGCGGATGACGGGAAGCGCGCTAGGACTCTTTAGAATCGCGCGATGGACGTTGGTTATCGGCCGGGAGGAAAAATACGTACCAAGTGCGGGGGGTCCAGGGGGGGAGTGGTGGCGGGATCGCGCCTCCGCTGACACCTGGCGGACGACGGGAAGCGCGCGTAGACTCTGCAGAATCGCGCGATGGACGTGGTTTCTCGGCCCGGAGGGGAAAACATTTATCAAGTGGGGGGCGCGTGGTGGCGGGGTCGGGCCTTGACCGGGGCGCGGCGGATGACGGGAAACGCGCTAAGACTCGAAGAGTCGCGCGATGGAGGTCTGCGTGCCCACAGGGATCTTTTTATCAACTGCAAGAGGGGGGCGTCCAAGAGGGGGGGGGGGGGGGGGGGCGCAAATCATGGCAGACGGCGCGCGCGCGCGGCCCAGGGTGGCCCAGGGGGGGGCCCAGGGGCGTTTTGATATGAGAAGCGGAACCCTGAAATCTGCGACAATATCTCATGGCCCACGCCGTGATATCCACGCCTTCTAGTCAGCGCCCCCCTCTTGGCCGCCACCGAGTTCAGCGCGCGTCAGGTGTCGGGTCCGGGTTGTTTTGCCTCCCTTGACAGAGCGATGCGGAGACGAGGGCGCTCGCGCGAAAAACCGAAACGTGCAAACCCTCTCGGCGGCCCGCGCGGCCTTCGGCGCGCGCCGGCGAGGGGCCCCACCCCGCGGCGCGCCGGGCGCGCCAGGGGCGCGGCGCCCGGCGCCGCGAAGCAAGGGGGGGGAGGAGGAGGAGGAGGAGGAGGAGGAGGAGGAGGAGGGCGGAGGAGGAGGAGGAGGAGGAGGAGGAGGAGGAGGAGTTGTTTTTTCCCGCGGGCGAGCATCTATATCCCATACAGGTCCGCAATCCGTGATCAGAGGCAGCAGCGCGGCGGCAGGCCATGCCTGCCAACATCGATATCCGTGCAGGATGGGGGGGGGCAGCGGCAGCAGAGGAGCAGCGAAGGGGAGAGAAAGGACAGGGTACTGGATGCCCGTGCACAACGGGTGGCCGATCTTCGCCCACCCGTGGTAGGTACCTCGCGCGCGGGGCGGGGCGGGGCAGCGCCGCCCGCTACCGATCCCCCCGAACGAGAGTCCTCGGCAGCGGGGGGGCGCACTCGGCGACGGGGGAGGACAGAGTCCATTCCCCACAAGCCTCGGGCGCTTGCAACCCAAGCCACCGTCACCACGACCCACAACCCAGGCACGAAACACGCCTGGACAAAATCGAGAGGCAGGCACCCTACCTCCCAGAGAGGCGCAACGGGCACAGTTGATCAGGTCGTCGACGGGGCGGGCGGCGGGGGCGGCAGGGAGCGGCGGGGCGGGCGCACGCACGCCCCCGCGCGCACTCCCCCAGCCAAGCGGGGGCCCAACCCCAGCACCACCAGCACACGCAGGGACCAGCAAGCAGCTGGAGGACCGAGGGGGCGGGCCGGGAGAAAAGCAGGGGAAAAAAGAAAAGCAGGGGAAAGAAGAGGAGGAGGAGGACGGGGAGGAGGAGGAGGAGGAGGAGGAGGAGGAGGAGGAGGAGGAGGAGGAGGGGGAGGAGGAGGAGGAGGAGGAGGAGGAGGAGGAGGAGGGAGGAGGAGGAGGGAGGAGGAGGAGGAGGAGCGCACCGCCTCAGGAAGGTCTCCCGCCGCGCACGCGGGCGCGCGACGGGATACCCCCTGGCGCCGCCCACTCACGGCGCGGCGCCGTGAGAGCAGGAGGCAAAGTAGAAGGAGAGCAACTGGAAAAAGTCGCCCTCAAGGCCGAGGGCGCAGGCCAACTGGCCGCCGACGAAGGAGGCGTCGCCACCGAAGAAGACGCCGTGCCACCAGCCGACCACGGACAGGCGGCGAATCACGACGTGGTCGATCAACGCGCTGCGTGGCTGCAAGAAGAGACCCCCTGCGGGGGCGGCGCTGCTGGGGTACGTCGGGCACGACGCGCCAGGCCCCTCTCGACGCGCCTGATCGCATCTTGCTGGTTGCGGCGCGTGGACTCGTTGGGCGAGAGCCCATCGCACCTCAAGCCAAACTTCCGCACTGTGTGGACATCTCCCGCAGCACAGTGAGACCCGCAGCGCCTGCAACAGTAAACAAGAGGAGGAGGAGGAGGAGGAGGAGGAGGAGGAGGAGGAGGAGGAGGCGGAGGAGGAGGAGGAGGAAGGGGGGGGGGGTCCAGCGAAAACCGGAGGATGCCGCGCGTGCCTCCGGGAGGTTTTAAGGGGCCCTGGGACGCACAAGCTAATCGAGACAAATCCCAGGATGCCCATGTTTTCGCATATTTCTGGATTTTCGTCTTACCCCCCACTTCCCCTAGTTTCCCATCTGTCCCTGGGGACCGACGATTCATTGTCTCTGTGTGTTGTTTCCCCTCCGGAAGTTTATCTGCCATCGTGCCTTTCGCAAGCAGTGGAGTGCACAAGGACACGAAATACACGTGCGAGTTCTGGAGGAATTGGTACGGATCCTGCGGGGTCCGACCACCTAGTTTGTCTTGGAATCCCTGGGCGCTTCCAGCGTTTTCCCTGTCGGCCTCGGGTAAGCCACATTGGCCCGAACAGACTCAAACATCTCCCGGTGGTCTTCCAAGCAACGCCCGAGGAGGCTGAGAGACTTTCGGTCGGTCCAAGGGAACGTCCTGGGGCTCTGTCTGTGGCGGCCTCTTGGGCCGACTTGAGAGCTCTGGGTACTGGCCCGACAGGCAAATGCTTACTCCCAGAAATGCAACGACTTGATTTGATGCA